CCCCCAGAACAAAATTGACTCGTATCATTTGTGTCTTTGTGAGGACCAAATGCAGTCAAGTATAATTCAAGTTAGCTGACTTGTCCAGTATTTGGCCATATCATCAGCTATATTGGATTTTTCTTTCATGGGAACATGTCATGTCAAAATATACAACATTTATACAAAAATTCATACTTTATACGGACCCCTGGCCTTATGTCAAGGACCACTAGGGGTCCACGGACCCCTGGTTGAGAAACACTTTTTAGCACACGTTTAGCACATGCACAGATCGCTTGTGTGGCGCTGCATATACTACGAACCAAGCTGCTCGGCGACACTGAAAACACCGGACTGTGAGATTAATCGTGCAGCCCAATCTGACATACAGTAAACTAAAAACAGCAACACTGGGTAAAGTCAATTTAAGTGTGAGAGCTCTGCGTGGAGATGTTTCTCAGATCAAAGCATTCAGATGCAACACATTTTAGATTCATATGGTTAAAAATAAGCAACAGCCTGTAAGCTGAGCATCAGACAAGAAAGATAAAGTATCCTATCACATTTCCAAAGAGGACATGCGCTGCAAACTAGAGCACTTGTGAACATGACCCCAAAACATACACACCTTTTCCTCCCAAGCTCAAAGTCCTCCACCCCTCTGTTGACACCTGACATGATTGATATTCAGGGCCAGCACTGTTTACAAGAGCCTGAACGAAAAGAGCAAAGGGAGGTGGAGAGATCTGAGGAGACAGGAACCTATAGAGGAGGGATACATATGCATGGAGGTGGCTGCAAAAGAGGCGAGACTCGAGCTGCATGGCTGTGGCGCCGAACACCGGTCCTCTCCAGAAATCAATGGAAACGACACTCAGATGCTACATTTCACAGTGTGTTTTTCGATATCTAGAGAAAACATCATGCCATCCTCTCAGGGAAAACCAACCGAGATGGAAATCTCATGTTTGGATCCTCATTGAGCTGATTTATTGAATCTGTCCTCGCCTGCTTGTGCTGGATGGGATCCACGACTACCTGATCACACACACTTAAAGACCAATAGGATTTAAGGAAGTGAAAGTTCAACAGTCCAGCATGTATGTAGGTCAACATGTAAACAGTCCATGAAAGCCCAGAAAACACACGTTCATCATCTCTGTATGTCAATATGACGCATGTGTACATGAACATAATTGTTTTATAACGTAATATGATTTATAAGTCATCTCCATGTAAAAATGCTAAGACTTTCACATTGTATGCTCTATAAATACACAAGCCTTTAATGTCAGATAGGCATATTTGTCTGGGCAAGAAACATTAAACCATGACCTATGAACTTAAACTTATAGTTCAGTCTTATAAACAGCTGCGTGATTTGTTGAGTCTACATTCCCTCTCACACAGAGGTCACTCAAGGAGTGTTGCTGCATTTCGGAGTGGGCCCGCATGGGAAAGCAGATCATGTGCATCTTTGCTTGCATTACAAACTGTGCACCATCTTAAGTCCTCCGTGATGAGGGGCTTCAGCTGGGCTTGAGCTCCAGCCAAGATGAGCTTTGGTTAAGGTTAAAGTTGGTTGTGCCACAGATCAGCTGACCCCCCTTACACAATCATGGCAAAAAGTGCCAAAAAGTTACTAAATCAGTCCCAGCATTAAAGGAACACTCCACTATTTTTGAAAATAGGCTCATTTTCCAACTCCCCTAGCGTTAAACAGTTGAGTTTTACCGTTTTCGAATCCATTCAGCCGATCTCCGGGTCTGGCGGTAGCACTTTTAGCTTAGCTTAGCATAGATCATTGAATCTGATTAGACCGTTAGCATCTCGCTCAAAAATGACCAAAGAGTTTCTATATTTTTCCTATTTAAAACTTGACTATTCTGTAGTTACTAAGACGGACGGAAAATGAAAAGTTGCGATTTTCTAGGCCGATATGGCTAGGAACTATACTCTCATTCCGGCGTAATAATCAAGGAACTTTGCTGGCACAATGATATTACACAGCACCTGAAAATAGTCTCAGATAGGTAACTTCCAAGAAGCCTATTTTCAGGCGCTGCGTAATATCATTGCGCCTGCTGCACCTATGGTACGCTAGCAAAGTTCCTTGATTATTACGGCGGCATTAGAGTATAGTTCCTAGCCATATCGGCATAGAAAATCGCAACTTTTCATTTTCTGTCGGTCTTAGTACATGATGTAACTACAGAATAATTAAGTTTTAAATAGGAAAAATATAGAAACTCTTTGGTCATTTTTGAGCGAGCGATGCTAACGGGCTAATCAGATTCAATGATCTATGCTAAGCTAAGCTAAAAGTGCTACCGCCAGACCCGGAGATCGGCTGAATGGACTTGAAAACGGTAAATCTCAACTGTTTAACTCTAGGGGAAGTTGGAAAATGAGCCTATTTTCAAAAATAGTGGAGTGTTCCTTTAAGCCGGACAAAGCTACGGTGTCTATTTCTTTTGACAGGTCAGCTTACACAAGCTGTTCTATGCTGACCGTCCTTGGAAGCAAGAGGATTCCTGATTGTGCCGGGAAAAAAAAAAGTCTTCCTTGATATTGAATAAGGATCCGTTTCCAATCCCTCACCCCACTCATACATACATAAAATCTGTATCAGTATTTTTGTCTTGCTTTACAGTGAAATATTTTAAAACCATTATCTTAAAAAAAGATGAAACAAATTTGAGAAATTAATACAATATTACTCATATGCCAATTTTTTTTCCTTTTTAACAAATCTCACTATATTTTACATTTTATGCTTAAAACAAGGAAATACTATTTGTCATTGTATATTAATAATTCATTTTAAGATCAATTCAATTCAAAGACATTCTCTAAAAATATTTTCATATTTTTATGCAATTCCGCTTCTTAAGTAAATCTATCCAAATATCCATTTTTACTAAGAACCACAAATTCTGAGACATTCATCCTAACATAAAATGTATTTACTATTAATAAAATAACATTAACTTAATATTTACTTGAATATATTAATATCTTAATCTAACATTTTTTAATATATATCGAACATCTCTTTTCTTACCACACTGGCATTTTGTTCTTGTTTTAACCATAAATACCTCAAAATTATGCTTAAAACAACCAACCAAATAAATACATAAATAAAATCCCAGTGGGGTAGGAATAATAAACTCTAAAAACATCTTAATATCAAGTAATTGAATATTGTTTAAAGCATTTTCAGATATTATTACTGGAAATATTATTGCCCCCAAAATAGCCAATACATTAAATTGTGGAAATTAGGTTTACTGCAGACTTCTAAATCCTCTACTGCTTTGCTCATCCTCCCTTCTCTCTCTCTAATACGAACACAAACAGACATCTAATGCAGAGAGCTAGAATAGAGGTGTTAGGTTTGCTTGCTCTCCCACAAGGAAATGCTTCATGGTATGTAATGCTGTGAGGGATTTAATATATCTAATTACCATAACATTTCCCCATGGCTCATCAGCTGAGACGGAGCGTATGGCCAGAGCACGATTTGATGTAATGTGAGCGACGCACCTCCCACAGGAGTGAGAGAGGAAGGGCCGCTGCGGTCCCCAACTGCTCCAACAGGGGGAGCCATAGAGGGATCCTGCCAAGAAGCGGCTATTTTTAGACCATAGAATAGAGAAATTTATTTATAGAGCTTTGAGTTCTGTCACATAGAGGAAGCGGTAGCTGTAGGGGTTCAGTGCATCAAAGCTCTGCTGACAAGCAGCTCTTAACGGAAGCAGGAGCTATTGACGGCCGCAGCATCTCTGCTCTGCCTGCAGCGTGACCAAACACAGTCATCATCAGCCCCGCCGTGACATTTGCACATTCTCAGGGAAATAGCTGAACTCGGGCTAAAAGCAGCCTCAAACCCAATGCACATCTCCAAAATAAAGCTCTGCAGCAGATGGAAATTCTCCGCCTCGTTCACGTCAGTGTTTTAATCTGCTGGGCATAAATAGAGCACTCAGAGGTCAGGCGGAAGCCTTCAGCCAAAGCTGCTTGCCGCTTGTGACGAACAATTTCTGGTCACGCGTCTCAGAATAACAGAAGTGTGAAAATATGAGACGGATCGCAGCAGGTCTGATGGGTTAATTCAAGACTGAATCGGTTTAATGACATTTGGAATAAATAAAATGAATATCTCTTCAAAGCGACATGTACAGATGATACAATATTCAGGGGTTGGTACCACCAGGAGGACAGCAGCCGGGAGATGAACCGCCTCTCACTGGATCCCTGTTAAGGCGATTGTGAGGATCAGATGAATAATATATGACTCTGTTTGGAGGATTAGCCCAACACTGAGCAAGGTAGCAATGACAGTCTTCACAGAGGATGCTCTGTGTCTCTAGTGGACAGCAGATACAATTGCAGGCAGACAGCTGTCTATGACGGACAATGCAGCAAATCATCTGCACTCTTGAATCTTTCGATATGGGTTGAGTTCTTCATCACAGAGGTTATGAGGTCACAATACAAACACAATGCAGCAGCCAGAGCTGAATCTGCATGCAAGCGTTAAGAGTAGCTTAAAGATTCAACATCGTTACAGTGTCTTCAACATCCACCACACAGCGGCTCCAAAGAGTATTTGGGCACTTAAAGACACAATTAAAAATGTATGAACGCCATTGCATAAATAAGTAAATATCAATCCAACCAGCATCTGCAAGCAAATCATAACCATAGGTGTATTTCATCACATTAACTATGAACTACTAACGTTTGTCATGCATGACTGATATTGATATTCTCAAAGCTGATATCTTTGAGAGCCTTTAAATTTAGAATTATTTTAGGTAATACTTACAAAATTAGAAAAAAGTAATCAATATGAAAATAAAAGAAACAAAAAAAACCTTAATCAAAGTAAATCTGTAAAATAAGATTTATACTTCATATAGCAACTTCTTGATTCTGTAATCAAATTACAGTATTTTTCATAAATACATTTATTTTTTTAAGTAAACACTGTAATCAACAGTGCACTGTGTGTGCACTTGGAATCATATTTTAGCAAATAAAGACCAGCTAATGCCAATTTCATATAAAGTGCACAATGAATATGACATAGTAGTCAACTGGATATAGCGCAGCATAGTTTGAAATCAAGAATTTAAAGTTTGGCCTCCACATCCAGTTTGGAGAATAGGAGCCTTTGTGTGTCTGGTGTGGTGTTTCCATCACTGTCAAAATAAAAGTCTTCCAACACTTATTAAATCAAACATAAAAAATGTCAAATATCGGCTGCTATTGGCATTATGTTGTTCAGACACATTTTTTTGCCTTAATTTGGAGCAGTATATCTATCGTTTAATAATTTTGAATTCATCAAACTTTTTAATTGTGAAAAGTTCTGCTTTTAAAAATGTGTTGGAGCATTTAAAAAAAAAAAAAAAAAAAAGTCAGTTGGATTGATATTTTAATATCTATGCATTAATGACATGCACACATTTGACGCATGTCCAAGTGTCCAAATACTTTTTAGATCCACGGTACAATTTGTAATAACTAAAAACCATCAAGCATTATTAAAATGGTGCACAAGCAAGAATTCTGTAAGAATGTTTTGAAAGATCTTGTCTTCAAGTCTGCATGTTAGTCATGTCAAAAGGCTGGAAACCAGTGCAAAAGAGGTCGGACTCATAAAATGAGATCCATTCTCAGCAGTAAAAACCTAAATATTCTCCATTTCTTATAGCAAAGTAGTACCAGGCCCACCAAAAGAGTCATTCCAGTGGACAGCTGAGGTGTGGATCCAAGTGGTAATTGTAACTCCACCAGCAACCATGTGCTACAACAGCATGTCTGCTGCCCCTGCAGCTCTTCTCTCATTGGATAAAATGATCTCCACCAGTAACAGCCCCAGGCAAAGCTGAGATCAAGTATATGGATGACCACTCCACAGCAGGGCCCAAGCACCACTCTAGTACATACACCAGTCAAATGACGCATCAAACAGCAGCCATCCGCCCCCTCACGTATGAAGAGCCCTTCAGGGAAAGTGTTTCTCATGGTCTGTGTGTGTTTGGATACTGGCTAGCAGTCGTATCAGCAGCAGATGATGTGCTCTCGAGGATATTCTAGCGATAAGGGAAGGTGGGTGAGGCGATCACAGAGGGGAGGATGGCGAGGTAGTTAGAGGGGACGTAGCCTCTCTGGCCACGCGCCTCCACCAGACTCCATTCCTTGTTTCCACGCTTATCATGAGGCTCCACCACCTGCACTGGCTCGCCGGCCCTCAGAGAAAGCTCGTGAGTGCTCCTCGCAGTGAAGTCATAGCCCGCATACACCTGCAGATAGAGAACGGAGAGTTTCAGTGTGCTTGGTAATGGGAAAAGTTGCCTTCTGTGAGATTTTGCCCTTAAAACTAGATGAAAAGACTGACAGTGCATAAAATTCAAAAACACAGTTTGTTATTGCCAAAACCCACACAAATAGCGAGACGTTCAAATCTGTCTAGAGAACGAATGTGCTTTTTGAGTGCTCTGTTGACTATATCTTTTTAGATTTGAAAAGTTAAGTGGTATTCAATGTTGCACAATGTGGGCTGTTTATTATAACTCCTAAGGAAATTAAAGTTGTGATGGGTTTTGAGACAGAAAAAGAGCTCTGAAGAAAATCTGAAACGATAAATTAGTTGAAGTGCTCCGCCTTGTGGTTAATGTCAGTAATGCCTTATGAATCATGTTGGTCATATTGGCTCATAGGGTTTTAAACAAACCCCTAACCTGAAATGTTAAAGTCACGGCAAAATTAAAGCTGCAATCAAACAGAAGTAGCAGCAGATATTTTATTTTGTATTGTGACATGCATTTGAGTGTAATGGATTATCAAGAAATAAAAAAGTATAATGGAATTGGTTCTGTGCAACGGTTGAATGGAAGAATCATTCACAATAAGATAAATAATATGCATTAAAAAAAATATAGAGGGGGAATTTCCATTTCATGCCGTCATTAATTGAAATACAAATAAAAAACTGAAAACTGATTAAAATACATTTTCAAGACTCCAAAACTAAAATAACATTGGGTTAAAAAAAATAATAATTAATTTTAGCTTTGATGCATAATAAACAAAAATAATTCATAATAAAATAAATAAACATACAAATGTTTAAACTACAATAAAAAAAAGTGACTAGAAAAAAAATCTTCAAAAGGGACCTGAATCATATTTAGTAAGTGTTTTTTTTTTTTTTTGGAGACAGTATGCAACCACTTAGCAATATGCTGAAAGCAACACCTTGCAATCTCTCACAGCATGCTAACATCGTGGCGTTTTGTATGGGTAAACACCAGTCACATTTTCTTCAGAAAATATTGTTTTTGAAAAAAAAAAAAAAAAGCTTTGTAAATGCAAAGTTATATAATTTCCACTGGAGGCAACAAATCCTGGATATATAATTCATGAGGGAGTCGTAATAGCCGGACTGTTTACCATTTGCTGTCAAAACGATAAACAACCCGTGAAGACTGTCTAGAAAAATTAGTCATATTTTAACAGTCACAACAGCCGTGCATCTCCCACTGTCACAGGCAAAAGCTCAGACATTACCTGCTTTCTTAAACATGAAGCCATAACGATAGGGAACCATTTGACAGGCAGATGAATCGGTGTGTATCTGGGTGCCGTGTGTTTGTGTAGGTGGCTGTGATAGAGCATGTCACTTCTGCTGACAAGGAGCGTCAGTTCATTTCTGTTCTTCCAATACTGAATTTACAAATGCTGAAGTGTGTGTGATTGATGATCATGAGATACTGCAGACCTGCCATCAATCTCCAAAGGTCTCGTTCTCTTTGACACGCGAATCAGACCGAGTAACTCGTCGACCTCATGACCCGTCAGTCAAACACCTGTGTCTCTGTGCCTATGTGTGTCAGTCACCTGAAAACAGGGCGTGGTCATGGTGGTTGGGAGTGGCTGGGCTCCGGGTGTGTAGGAGTGCCTTCGGGGTCCTGGACCGGTGGGTGTGACCTTCAGATGAGGAGACTGCGGCGGGTCAACGGTTATCTGGTGGTAGCGTGTCAGTTTTAAGGCAGGCACATAACCCCTTGGGCCTGAAGAAAATAAAAAATAGAAATCTCATGAAGATATTCAAACCTGCACATTTCAGTGTTTCTATTCTGCACACTGATAAGACCAGATTTGATGTGCTTTAACTGTATTTGTTTTGTCAAGTTAAGCTTTGAATGTTTGCTTGATTAATCCTTGCTTGAAAATTTAAATGACTAATAACAAAAGTATGTCCACTGACTGATATATTTTTTTTTATATCTTAGCATAAGCCAAAATACCTTCATTCAGCTGCAATAAAATAATAATAAAAAACAATTAAATAAAACATTGAATTAAATATAAATGGAAAGGAAAGGAAAGAAGTGTTTCTGAAACTGGCTGTTGGAAGAGCTGTAATAACCAAGTTACCAACAGAAGTGATGTGAAAAGCAATTGTAGACGATATGTGATTGTTTAAAATAAACTTTCACTACATGTAGTCTAGCACCACTTTATTCCAACAGCTGCACTATTATTATTACAGCACAACTCCATTACTGTCATTAGACCTCATTTTCCCATTTCACAGATATCACATGCTATCAAAACATCACTGCAATAAAGTAAGTGTAATTTGTATTATCAGATGGTTTATATTTTGCTTTAAAGCAAATTCAATCAGTTTGGTCGGATGGATTTTTTGATGTATTAGAGCGAGTTTTATTGAGCATTAAAGGGGTCATATGACGCTTTTTTAAAGATCATTATTTTGTGTATTTGGTGTAACAGAATATGTTGACACGCTTTAATGTTCAAAAAACACATTATTTTTCAAATACTGTACATTATTGTAGGTCCTCTATGCCCCGCCTCTCTCAAAC